TATTAACTTGGTAATCGTAAAAATTTAAAACATTTCAAACACTTTTATTTATCACAATAATATTTTTCATAATATAAACAGTACGGAGTTTTCCATATTGCGGAAGCTTAACAATCATAATCACAAACATAATTTATTTATGTTCTTTAATTCAAAACCATCACATCCATTCCGACAATCTCGCCTCCGTCTGCCTCCATGATCACGTCACTTCATTAACCTGCGTGTAGCAAATAAAACATACTACACGCTCAGCGTTGAAGCTGAGTAAGCATATCTAATGCATCGAACATCCATATAAACTGAATCTAAATTCATAATCAAATAATTTGATATCATGCACATAATGTTTAGTTCAGATAATCAATAATTATTAAAAATTATTCATCATGCATTATTCAACATTTATATTCACATTCAATGTTCATCAGTCATTCATAATAATTGCAATATTCAATTCAATATTCATCATTCAATATTTACTCATATTCAATATTCAATATTCAACATTCAACAATATCCTTAAACTATTTTTAGTCTAAGGCCAATCACTTTAATATTTGTCAACCCTTAAACGAGTTCTAGTTTAAATAATTAAACTATATTCCAGTATAAAATATTCCTAAATAATCCTTAAGCTAAGCCTAGTTTAAGATAAAAGGGTTTTGAAAATCTTAAACTTACCTTCACTTAAGGCCAACCAAAAACCGACAGCGTAGTGTTCACTGTTGGGTGGGTGGTACCCCCAAACGAGTAGGTACTCAAGTTTGGTTCTTAGATCTCGTACGTACGTTTTAACCCTAGCCACCGGGGTTCATACCCGCAAGGCCTAACTTAAATAGGTATATCTTAGAGGTCTTCTAGATACCTTTCAAATCAACATTAATATGGGTATATCTTAGAGGTCTTCTAGATACCCTTAACAATACATTTTATTTTCACAATCATCAATATATTCATTATGATTTAATCATTCACAATTATCATTTTTAATCAGAATATTCATCAAGATTCAATCATCATAATAATCAATCAATAATCATTACCATAATCATCAATCAACATAATATTCAATAA